CCACTGTGGACGAGAAATCCAGTGGATACAGGAACTGTGTGTGTTTCTGGGTCTTAGACAGGATTGCTGCATCTCATAGCTCTCCAACCTGCTTCCAGCTCACATTCCCAACTTCAGTCTATGCCTAGAAGGTTCAAAGGTTGGGAGGAAGTCTTTATATTTTTTATAATATTTGCAGTCAGCACGCACTGCAGATAGCCTTCCACTCCAAGTCAAGAGGAAGAGACATGGCTCGAGACCTGTACCTTTGTTGTTGTTGCTGAGTGGCCAGGTAGCCTCCTGGCCCTCAAGTTCTCTTCAGATGACCACTGACCAACTCACATGTGTTTTACATGTGACTAAGCTTCAGACTGCCTGAGACTGTAGGCAAGGGCTGAAGACCTCCCTTTCTCCTGAGTCCGCTACCAACTTTCCATTAGAGCCACAGCACTGGCAGCTGCTCAGAGCTCTGGCCTAGGAACCACTGTTCTGAGCAAAGGTTCAGGGCTTCCTGGTTCCTGGGAATCCTCTGCACAGGAAACGCAAGGTCCCCCAGGAGTCACATGCACCTTACCTTCTGGAGGAAGTGCCAGAGAACAGGCACGGTTTCTTTGCCATTTTTCTGTTCCACAATATGCTGCAGGTACTCCACTGTGATCTTCTTCCTGCAGCTCCAAATCCTTGAGCAATGAACCACACTTTCTTGGGGCAAGTGAGGCAGGAAGGTTGCTGGGTCCCCATATATGATTTTAGTCACAGGGTTGGAGCTGATGCGCTCATCTTGGCTGATAAGAGCATTTACAGCTGCCAAGGTTTTGTCAAGATGCTGGATGGAGAAAATGATACAGAATTCTCGACTGCAACACTGTTGCGGGCTGGGACACAGATAACTTTACTGTGGCTCCCTCCTTATCTCCCTGTCCCATTGCTGGCTTCTATTACAATCCAACTGTACTTTGTTGCAGGGTTTGCCTCCCTGTATACAGGGGACTAAGAGGTCTGTACCCATTGCTCTTCTTTCATCCCCTTCCTCACTTCACTTGTGGTATGCCTCCTTCCTCTCAGTCATGTTCTTATCTGACAGAAGAGCACTTCATCTCCAGCCGCTGTGCATCCTAGCGTGTCTCTCTACAGGACAGCAGGTCTGCTTCATACCCTCATCTCCTGCCATCCTCAGTGATGATAAACAGGCTATAGGTTGAGGATACTGAAATCTGAGGCTTAGTAGAGGCCCCTGCAGCCCTTCCCCAGGGATGATGGGCAAAGCCTGCTCAGCAGATCTGTGGGGACCCTCCTCCTACTCTAGAGAAGTGACAGTCACACTCACCTCCAATTCAGGTAGAAGAAGAGCTTCAAAATGCTTCTCCCAGTTGTTTCTGCAACCTTTGGTTGACAATTCTGCACTAAAATTTAACTTCCCTACAAATAAAATAAGAATGTGTGGGTTGTCGTAAAACAAAAGCCATAGCAGCCTGCATACAGTAAGCATAAAATATGTGCCAACAGAACGTTCCATGAGGGGGAAGTACTTTCTTAAGTACGCTGAAGATGTTGAGTCCTGATGCAATCATCTGCTGCTGCCACCTTTGACACCTCCCCCTCAGTTCCTCTAAGCCCACTGCTGCCACCACCAGCCACTCCAGCTGCGACCCCAGACCCGCAGCCAGAGCAGGCAGGACGCAGGAGGGTGGGTGGTGTAGATCCCGAGGTAGTGGCAGGCTTCTAGGACTCCCTCACACCAAAACAATAGACTTTCAGGAAAATGAGGTTTTACTAAATAGTAAATACCCTGAAATCTGACTGGGGAGGCAGGCCAAGAGGAGTGAGGTTCCTGTTTGCAGGTGGCACTTTTTGTTGTTATTGCCTTATTTTAAAGTAACAACGGTAGGTCAAGCATGGTGGTGCACACCTTTAATCCCAGCATGCCTGAGGCAGAAGCAGGTGAACTCTCTGAGTTGAGGCCAGCCTGGTCTACAAACTAAGTTCCAGGACAGGCAAGGCTACACAGGGAAACTCTGTCTCAGAAAGACAACAAACAAAACCCCACAGTGGTCTAGAAGGTTGGTTTCATGGGTAAAGGTACTTGCTATGCAAGCCTGACAACCTGAGTTCTATACCAGGACCCACAGAGAACCTGTTATTCAGGTGCTTCAGGAGCTGGACGGAGCTGGTGACAGGAGCATCGCATCCAAGCTCACAGGCCAGCTGGCCTTGACCATGCACAGCAGCAGCCCAAGAGAGACCTCCTCTCAACAAGGTGGAAGGTGAGGGCTAACTCTGAAAGTTGTCTTCTGCCGTACACAGGTGAGGCAAGTGTGCGCCCCCACCCTAATAAAGTAAACAAACAGTGCTCTTCACACTGATGATTTGGGAGGCAGAAGCGGGCGGTCTCTGAGTCTGAGGCCAGCCTGGTCTCCAAGTGAGTTCTAGGACAGCCAGAGCTGTTACACAGGGAAACCTCATCTTGGAAAACAAACAAAAACCCCAAACAAAGTCATTCTCAATGATGCCATCTCCAGTGACACTCATTACCTTTCTCAGTAGATTTAGACGGTTAGGACAGACGCATCAGCCCAGTGAGCAGTGTCTGTTTTTCTTGAGTAAGTAGTGTACATGGAAACAGTCCATTGTCAACTACGGGGCTAGTGCACAGCCATGGGAGTCTCAGTAAAGAGCAGAAGCAAGGATAGTGACTGATTCTTGGGCACATGTCACCTGCTTTGGATGACATGTGTGTTTGCACTTGTGTGTTCCAAGAAGGAAAGGTCAAAGGTCCTTGTTAGATATGTGGGTGGGTGGGGCAACAGAGCAACCTCTTCACCCCAGTAAGAGTTCATGCTTTTTCTCCCATCCCATCTCTGTTTATTTGAAAAAGGATTTTACTGTGAAGCCCATACTGGTCTTGAACTCACAATACCCCTGCCTCAGCTTCCCAAGTACTAGGATTATGGTCACCATGCTTAGCTCAAGTTGAGTTTTCACTCACTGAGGAGCCATGGGAAGTGATCCTCAGCCTAGCTTAGCCCTTGCCCACGTTGCTTACTCTGGCCAAACACAGGATGCTGCTCCTTGAGCAAACTGCACAGGGTGAGGTGTACCACGTGGATGGTCTCGTCTGCACTCCTGCCCAGCATCTTGGTTAGCTGTTCCAGGTTTCTCTGGATGTGCTGCTGCAGGAAGGCTTGTGAGTCCAGAACCTGAGGCTTAATGATCCTGATCAGGGCCTGGGAGCGAGGAAACAAATGTTCAGAACATCTCATGGACAGAGGAAATGTGACCTCGGGAGAGGCCAGGAAGAGAAAGACACCAGCATCAAGTCAGAGGCTGTCTTCTAAGTTGCGTGATGTAACGGCAGAGGTGGAGGAGACAGGTAGAAGCAGGCTGTGGTCTTGTCTGACAGTAGATGACCTAACCTTGAACTTTCTGTCGTCTTGGCCAGTGTTGATATGAAGGAGATACAGCATAGATGACCTTAGCCTCCCCATGCTGCACTCTGAAAGTGGATCTGATCCTTACACTCTGTACAGATGAGATCTAGTCTCATAAACACAGAAAATTAGTTGGTGTCTGTTTTAAAACACTGGGCTAGGTATCATTCAGTGATAGAACTCTGACCTCTGGAGCACTGTGAAAAAATACTAATAAAAATGAAAAATGCTTGCTTGGTGGTGCCGGCCTTTAATCCCAGCACTCGGGAGGCACAGACAGGTGGATCTCTAGTCTGTGGCCAGCCTGGTATACAGAGTGAGTTCTAGGACAACCAGGGCTGCATAGTGAGACTGTTCGGGGAAGGAAAAAAAAAAAAAAAGAAATGGATTTTATATAATCTGAAAAGCACTTCATCCCATTCTGTGTGGTGAAAAAGGTAAGGAGACCTTAGGTTTCTGTCACCTGGCAGATTAGGTACCAACAATGTACTCCTACTCCACAGGCACCGGGGAGCAGGTTGAAGACAAAAGGGCCGTGTAGCAGCTTATGACAAGTACCTGGGGATTCTGAGTGGCCCCCACAAGCATAGCCAAATGAGTGAGCAGCCGAGTAAGAATGAAGACCACTGGGGACAGCCCTCGATCAGCTGCCACAGCTGCACCCCCGGGCTGCGGACCGCCCAGCACATGGCCAGTCTGTGTTCTGTCCTCATTTTCTCTGCAAAGGAAGAAAAGAGACATGGTCAAGACTGAAAGAGGCCACTCTCCCTAGCTGCAGTGGCACATCTCAGAGCCTCAGACTTGGAGATAGGGTTCCATGCTCTGAGCAAACAACAATTAAAAGTCCTTCTAGGCCTGGGATGCCTGCCTATGCACCATTTTCTTTTCAGAACTCCCTTCTGGCTGACCAATTCCCCAAGACTCAGTTTAAGGTGGCATAAAATGGCTACTGAAGCTGATTCCTGAGAAGGCATCAGGGCAGAAGCATGCACCCATCTCTGGACAGCTCGAGTTTGGAACAGTTTGTACCCATGTATGTATTTTTCACATTCTTCTCATTTCCCCAGTCATAAATTAGGATCCAAGGTCTGGCAGAACTTTTTGCATCATAGGTAGTAGGTGGGAGATATGGTGTGTACATACAGTTGCAAAGATATTGCATGTCGAGGACATTTTGTTAGGTCTTGGAGAAAAGCGGCTGGAATAGTGTAAGCTTTGACTACACCAGGAGCATCAAAATGTATGGTACTGCAGATAGGCCCCACCAACCAATCACAAGGGAGTGGCCGGCTGCACTGTGTCAGAAACATGGGAGCAGACTATTATTTAGAGTGTGAAGTCTGTTAGGACAGGCCCTCTGTATCTCCAAAGCCAAGCAACTACAAACCAAAACCAGGCCAGCTTTGCTTTCTTTTCTTCCTTCCTTCCTTTCTTCTTTTCTTCTTTTCTTCTTTCCTTCCTTCCTTCCTTCCTTCCTTCCTTCCTTCCTTCCTTCCTTCCTTCCTTCCTTCCTTCCTTCCTTTCTTTTTAAAGATTTATTTATATATACAGAAGAGGGTGCCAGATCGCATTGCAGATGGTAGTGAGCCACCATGTGGTTGCTGGGAATTGAACTCAGGACCTCTGGAAGAACAGTCAGTGCTCTTAACCTCTGAGCCATCTCTCCAGACCCAGCTTTGCTTTCTTGTCCCAGTCCCCTACACAATGCAGTAGGACAAGTATTACACAGCACTCACACTGTGACAGGGACTGTGGACAGGCTACATAATTCCAAGCATATGGGGAAAGGTGTGCCATCCTCTTTTATGCCTGTGCCATCTTAGATAAGGAACAACTTTTCTGACGGGTCTTAGAATGCAGTGTGGGTGTCTTCAAACTCACCCCTCACACAGACCAAGGCATGGGGCAGTATCTGACAAGCCTGATTATGTGTCCTTCATTGTCCTCACATCTCAGAAAACAAAAACAAGCCCGGTGTGGTGGCATGCCCCTGTAATCCTAGCACTCGGGGCTGAGTCAGGCCTGGGGCACATAGCAAGTACCAGGACAGCCAAGGGTATAGTATGAAATCCTATGTTAAAAAACCAAACCAAAACAAAACCCCCAAAACTACAGGAGGGTAGAAAGGAGATGAGAGAGAACTACGATAGATTACAAGTCCGGCATCATGTGCTGAAATAGGCAGCTACTATTTCAGTGTATTAGACCTACTGTCCTGAATCAGGACGTATTTATAGGCCCCAGAGAACATGTCTGTATTAGCAAGTATTAATGTGCAGGCCACTCTGTGCTGTAGACCAGTGACAGCACCTTATGGTTTCCTGATGACAGGGACCTTGGCACTGGAGCTGGTGCCAAGCACAACATAGATCCAGATGTATGAGAGTGTCTTTGGCACAAGCTACTGGCAGTTTAGGAAGAAGAATTGGAACAGTGCTGAAGCCCAGGGCCAAGTGCTAGGAGGAACAGAAGCTTATGTACCTGATGAGATGGAAGCCTTGCTGTGGCCTGTGATTGACACCTCCAATCTTAATACGACAGTCCGGACAGATGCTCTCCTCCATTGGCCTGCCGCACTAGAGAGAATACAATGATGTTTTATGTTGTGTAGTGACCCTGACCTGTCATAGGAAGTCACTGGGATTGCTTCTTCTGTGTATATATATTTAGGGGGTGTGGTATGGGGACAGGGTGGAAACTTACTGTAAGTGTGTTAACAGTGGGCAAGTACAGACTTTTATGGAAAGCAGACATAAGTTTGAGTCCCAAATTGACGGACACCTGATAGGAAAACCTGAAGCACATTTTGCTTTCTTATACCCAGCTCTTTATCCCTATCCCGTATTTGTACACTCATCTTAAGGCTTCACTATCTGACACCAAGATACATGGCGTCACTTGCTTCCTGTCTGATATTTTTTATATACAACCATAGATTTATTATTCCTAAGGGCACATTTAAAAAAGTTAGATGGTGCTGGGCAGTGGTGGCACATGCCTTTAATCCCAGCACTCAGGAGGCAAAGGCAAATAAATCTCCGAGTTCAAGGCCAGCCTGGTCTACCAAGTAAGTTCCAGGATAGCCACAGTTAGAGAGAAACCCTGTTTTGAAAAACCAAAAGAAAAAAAGTTAGATAGTGTGCCTCTGTACTGTAACACATGGCCCCCAGCACACCAAAGCAGCTGTAGTCCTTCCGACTGTAGAACTCCATAGTCCAGAGCAGCCTGGGGAAGAACCTCTTTCTACCTCATTTCATGGACAAGGAAGGACGTGAACCTCAGTTTGCCTCAGGATTTTCCCTCCAGTCTCTCAGCAAGCACAGGGCCTGAGGTGGCACCTGGGTGTCCCCGGATGATGATTACATTCATTCTCCTCCATGGGCCTACTCTTGGGTGTCTTTCCCATTCTGTAGTGTCACTGACTCCTGCTGTGTGGTCTGAGGAGGGAGTGACTACCAACCAGCAGCCCTTTGGGGTCCTTGGCCCCGAGGCAACGTCAGGAAACAATCTAGCCTGTCACACTTCGGTAGGTGTTGGTACTAGTACCCTACTGTGTAGAGACCATGCATGATGCTAACTGTCCTGAAAAGGGAGGGGCAGCCCCAGTGGAGAGTGCCCATGGTGCTCCATGGAGAGCCCTGGGATAGCAGCCCTCAGCACAGTTAGCACTTATTTAGAACACCCTGAGTGGTCCTCAGAACAAGCCTGTGTTTCCTTCTCCTTCCCCCTCTTCTCAGCACGGGGGGAACCACACATTTTGAGCTCCCACCCACCCAAACACCAAAACTCACCTCTCCTACAGCACACGGATGGCCATTGGGACAATCTGTTAAAAGAACAGGACACACATTGGCGAGTAAGAGGCCCATACTCTATCCCTTCTGATCCTGACCGAGTATGACTCAGCCTCAGCGCCTCCCTAGAAATTGAAATGTCTGGCATATTGTGAGCTAGTGTTTGATGT